GGCAGCGTGTTCCACACTCCCACCACCCTTGGTGTAAAGACGTGCCTAATGCTCCCAGTTTTAAATGCACTTCTAAGTCATTTGAACTTGTGGTGTTTCGACTTGTCAGGTTTGTGTTTCACTGTTCGTAGTGAAAGGAATCCTGGGCTGGCTGTCAATGTCTTCCAGGATTTTGAGTGCTTGTACCATGTCCCCTGGTAGACCTCTTTGTTCAAGATTACTTCACACTTCCTTTTGTCTGTCAGTGTGAAGATCCTGTTAAGCCCTGGTTGATGTGTAAAAAGCTGTCAAGATTCCATTAATAAATAACTTACATAGACGTGCTAAAGTAAAAAAAAAACTGTCAATCATGTTTCTGTTACACCCAGAAGTTTTTCTAAATATTTCTTGATGTTTGCATTAGCACACGCAAGCACAGCCTGCAATTGTTAACGAAAACCACAAGTTCATTGTAACTTAGAAACTGTTCCAGTGGCCATAGTTCTGTTTAACAATGACGGGTTCTTAAAGTTCCAGGAATTTTTTACTGCTGCCACTGAAGCATTTGCAAACATCGAGTTATATGTGAACCCAGGTTTGCATTTGTGTTGTTACCCAATCTCTTCCCCCATTCCTGGTGGCAGAGTAACTGGACTGGTCTGTTTTAGCTAGTAATGGGAAGGGGGAACACTTCCCACAGGCACAACGAAGGTGGAAAATCAGATATAGATGAGGGAATTTTGAAATTCCACAATTTTGGCAAAGCAGATATTGCAGCATTTTCCGGAACCCCCCAGCCCCATCAGTAAGCCTGGCTCTCTGTGTCCCAGACTCGGAGGAGACGAAGCAGGCTGCCATGGTGATGAAGGAGGAGGATCTGGTGAGCGAGCGGACCGAGGCCTTCACCACGGCCAGGAACCTGCTGACCGCAGGCGCAGACGCCATCGAGAGGATCATGAGCTCCTACAAGGAGGTGAGACGCCCCCGGCCCCCGGTCTGTGCACTGAAGCAGAGAGCACAGGTCTGTCTGCTGACGACTGAGTGACCAGGGCAATCGAGGAGCAGAGCTGCTCCCTGGTACACTCTCACACACTCGCACTGTCGTACTCTCATACTCATACGTGCCCTGTCACACTCTCGCACGTGCACTGTCCTGCTCTCAGGCACGCCGTCATGCTTGCACGAGTACTGTCGCCCTCGCACCCATGCGCCCATTCTCACACACTGGCTCGCACTGTCGTACTCTCATACTCATAAGTGCCCTGTCACACTCGCGCATGTGCACTGTCCTGCTCTCAGGCACGCCGTCATGCTTGCACGAGTACTGTCGCCCTCGCACCCATGCGCCCATTCTCACACACTGGCTCGCACTGTCGTACTCTCATACTCATAAGTGCCCTGTCACACTCGCGCATGTGCACTGTCCTGCTCTCAGGCACGCCGTCATGCTCGCACGAGTACTGTCGCCCTCGCACACTTGTGCACACTCGTGCAAGGGTACTCTTGAACCCTGCCCTGCTTGCACATGCACTAGCACACTCACTGTTGCGGCTGCACTTTCTCACGCACACGCTGTGGTGCTCGCACTGTCACTCCACACACTGATACGCAGACCTGGCGCCTTTGCTGAGGGAAGCTTTGTCTTCTAGGCCCATCAGAACCAGGGCTGGGAACTGAACACTGGGAAGGAGGCATAACCTGCCCTTATAATAGTGTACTGTGCTGTTGCAGGGTAAAATCAGAGTGTAGTGTAGTAAAAGGCATAGCAATAGCAGAATGTAGCATAGAGAAATATGGTGGGATTAACTGGTGTATAAACAGTGGAGAAACGTGTGTCTACAGTAAGCTTGCGCCCACACGGTGCTGCTCCGGGGGGTTCCAGCTCCCCCTGGGGTGCTCGTTTACTTGTGTGATGGATCAGCCGGGCGCACCGGGTCTCCCTCGCTGTCCCAGGTGACGGAGCTGGCGGGCTACACCGCGCGGGTGTACGAGATGTTCGCCGTGTTCGAGGATGTGCGCGCGGGCGTGTACCGGCGCTCTGCGGGGGGCGACGGCGGCGAGGGAGGGGCTGTCAAGGTCATCAGGCACGGCGTGAGGATCGAGGGACCCCTGGAGGTCAAAGGTAACACCCCCGGAACCCTGGGTTGGGTGGAAGCCAGAAAGGAATACAGTCAAGACCCCCTGTTTTCCTCACTTACTGCCCGTCTGTATCCAGGTGTGAGCAGCTCCCATCGCCTTCCAGTTTGAACCTGATTCCAGCCTGTCTCACAGCTCAGGCTGCAATAGGAGCATCATGCCAGGAGAGGCCAGGCACTGGAGGAGGTCATTCAGCCCATCTGGCCCATTCTGTAATTAGTGTTAATTAATTCCAGGATCTCCTCCAGCTGTTTTTTTGTTAAACCAGGGAATCAACTTCAACAACATGGCTGGACTTCAAATTCTGCATTGGAACGGATTCAAAGGGAATGGGAAGTGGAGCTGGAATGGAGAATGCCGTCGGATTAGAAGAGTTATTAATGTCTCTCAGAAGTGCTCATTTGGAGCTCCAGACTGCTCTATCAGTTTGAGCACTGTTCTGTGGCCGGGGAAAGGAACCAGCCTGTTGTGTGTGTGTGTGTGTGTGTGTGTGTGGGAAAGGGGACTGATGGCTTGTTGTTGTGTTGTATGTGTGTGCAGGGACCGATGGCCTGTTGTGTGTGTGTGTGTGGGGACTGATGACCTGTTTTCTGTGTTGTGTGTGTGTGTGTGCAGGGACTGATGGCCTGTTGTGTGTGTTGTTTGTGCGTACAGGAAAGGTGATCGATGTGCAGCAGGGCATCATGTGTGAGAACATCCCCATCATCACTCCCACTGGAGATGTGGTTGTGTCCAGCCTCAACATCGAGGTAAGGACCGATGCCTACAGCACCCCCAAGTCTTGTCGTGCCACCCACTGTGGCTCTTTACAGAGCTATATAGCAGCCTCTAGTGGCAGGTCAACTGTAACTGCAGCCCTTTCTTAAGATGGCCAGCCACTTTTAGACATGACAGAAAACCTAAATAAGGGAACATTAATTTGTAATATAACAAGGTTTTAAACTAAAAGGGGTTTAAAGGGTCATTGAGTTTAAAAGGATTGAAGGTAGCTGCACAGTCCAGAGATGCCTATGGAGGCATTACTCATGCATTTTCCATACTGTTCGGTGCACCCCATTAACAGCCCTTTTCCCTTCACTTCGTGAGATTGACCAACATTAGCAAGCATTAGTTTAAACATACTGTAGCATAACTGGGTGAAGCTCTTGCATGAATGTTTGTGTTGTGGTTGTTTTTATTGGGGAGATCACCATGAATGCACCCACCCCCTGTTCACCTCCCTTCTTTTGGGAAATTAGTTCTCAGTTTAGGTGTTTATCTTACCTGCCGCTTAGATCACAAAATGTATGAGTTCTCCTAAAGCA